TCGATATTTCCGTATCTTAGTATTATTAAAAGAACATTTTAAATTTATGAGACGTGATATAATGTTTCTTGATCGAAAATATGATCTTCTGTATGACATTGAATATTTCAGTGAAATGCTGCACAACAGCATATATCAATCAATCAATTTAATAATGATTTTAGGACAATCTTCTTTCTATTATCGATAAGAAACATTAGTTATCGAATAGTACAAATCGAAATTTTGAATAATTTAATTGTGGAAACATTTTCTACTAAATCGAAAGAAACACTCAAAAAAATTCAGCAACAGTTTTTTGTTTTGGACTATTGATTTTTAGCGTGATCGTAGCAATAATAGACGTTATTTACATTATTAAAAAGAATATACACTTGCTCGATTCAAAATAAAAAGCGAATGACCATTTTTTGAATAACTTTTGCCGTAAACAACATAGAGGTCTACAATTTTCACCACGCGAAAAACCAGACTTCCTGAAACATTTTTTGTTTTCTCTGATTCAAGTTGTCAATAAGACATATGGGTATAAGACATTATTTCAACTTTTATAAATCAATGCCATTTTTAGAAATTACATTGAATATCATTGTTTGTGGATTAGTTTGAAATGTCAAAGTAGCCTCTATCAAACAACGTAAGCTAGAGGGGGGGGGGGGGGGAAATTTTACTAGGAGCAGTAACCAGATGACATCAGTATACAATATTATTTTTCTTCAGCAATTCAAAATGTGTGGGAAAATGTATTATTAATCAGATAGAATATCATTGTATATAATTTTAGCTGTCCGAAAAAAAAAATATATTTCTGATGAAATCAAATAGTACAATGTCCAAGTAGACATAATGAATTTTGACAAAGTTGATATTTTACGTGAAATATGCTATTCTGTTAATTACCAATATCTGTAACCAAATGGCAAACAGATATCAATAATCGGTATTATCGAAAACTTTATCATTTTATGTATCATTCATTGCATCACCTGTGGTATCCATCATCGATTTCGTCGCGTTTCTCATTCTTCGAGTCATTTTTTCTGACTCATCATTTGTGTCCCTCATTATATCCGTACTATCATTATCGATCAACGATTCTATTGCATTTTATTTCAATCATTTGTTTAACTACCGTTATAAAAAAAAAAACGAACGATATCAATTCTTTTTCATTTTGATTTCAGGTGAAATGTACTCAGTATATGAAAAGTAATAAAGCATAAACAAGATCAATGTTTAGATTTTGTTTTTAATTTTTATTTAAAAAAATAAAAAAAATTTGAATCACATTTATGAATAATGCTAATTTTGAAATTTCCTAGCATTCTAATACATTATTGCTAGGAGAAAGAACGTTGAACATTGATTAGTAAGTGCCTGGATAATAATATTGTTGTGGATAAAAAAGTGGTTGAGAAACCATTTGTGGTTGAGAAAATGCACAACCTGGACAGCTTGATGTTGCTGATCCATATGATGAATAATAAGGAGATTGAAAGACCTACATAAATCAAAAAATTACAAATAAGAATGAATATAAAAAAGACCAGAAACTCACCATGATTATTGATGAAAGTTTTTTAATACTAATCGAAATGAAGTAAAGCTTTGGATGCTCTAACAAAATATCATAAAGGATAATGTTTTGTCTAATATATGTATATAAAGAATCCCCTACCTCTACTGTATTGATGAGAAGTTGATTGTGGTTTAGTTGTAAAAATCTGTGGCTTTATATACTATGAAGATTTGTGACATAAATAAAGTGCAAAAGCATAGGTCATGATGAATAATCGCGGTAAAGACACAAAAAAGAAATATGCACCGTATGGTTGATCGCCCTTAAAGAGCCACATCAATTGCACATGAAATGAATTACAATATATGAAGAAAAGAAAATATTAGTTATGGCTACAGATAAAGTACAAAACATGATTTTGTCTGGTTGTTATTCAAGCTAATGGGTACATTTTTTTCTTGCGGAAAGTTCAGAAGGTCACAAGGGTATTATAACTGACAAACAAAATTACCTATTATAAACAATTATTTCAAAATATGATGACTATCAATGTTCAATGAAATGCAAGATTAATTTCATCAGACAACGTATTTTTATGACTATTGATCCTTATTATTATTGATCTTTAAAAGTGAATGATAACTGACTTCATTTTGTTTTTTTATTATAATCCATAATAAAATATTTGATTCTACAAATTTAATATTCAATCAAGATGCTTATTTTAATATTCACTGATTTCGTTATTTTGTTTTTTTTGAAAATTTTGTCTTTTAATTTTTTAACGTACAATACATATTTTATTCATATAGATAATGTCTTTTATTGTTCTTGACACGCTTTCATGAAATAGTTGATGATAAGAAATTTTTTAAATGGATGTTTCAATTGTTGAATAAGATCATCAATAAGCGTCATTGTATACGAATATAGTCGAAATTGAAATTTTGAACTATTTAATTTTCGAATCATTTTTTTACTTCCATCAGCTTTTATAAAAACGTGAAATCTAAATATATTCTTGCTAAATAATTGAAGTAATCGTTGAAGCAGATTCAAAAATTTTTTTTTTTATTTTGGACTGTTCGTTTGTAGCCGTGACCTTAACAATAATAGATGTTATTTACGTTAATAAAAAAAAAAACATACTTAGATGATAGAATCATTAAATCTGACGATATTCATTTCATATGAAATTTAATACTCTATTGGATATTCTGATGTTTAACTCTCAATAATAAATGTATTGGTTTTATGATATCTAGGAATAAAGTTAGTATTTGGTAAATATAAGAAATATATAGCAACAAAAAGTCAAAAGTAATAATAGAAAGAAATCAGTAATATTCATATTTCTCAAATAATTAATATTATTGAAATATGTTATTATATCGATTTACTAATGTACTAATCTATCTGGTCAATTTGTATAAAAATGGATGCTTTATTAAATATTTTTAATAAGATGTTCAACTTTATGATAATCATTATATGTATGAAATTTTTAGTTTCATCCAAGATTAAATAAATTCTTGAAGTAAACAGATTATTGTTTTCATTATTGTGTTGTAAATAGATATCGTCACATATACATTTCATTGCTGAATCAAAGCTTTTAATACTCAAACAATTAAAGTGTACTGTTAATAGAAATACTCGAATAGTCTCAACAGCATTTTATTACATTGATTAAAATCTGAATGATTAAAAGTTAGTTGAATAGATATGACTGTATTTTTTGGAATTAGTGATAATAGAATGATCATTTAAGTCTTTGATATCACAATACGTAATACTTACAGTTTTATATAAAAAAAAAACTTTTGAATGTAGATTTCAAAATCGTTGAATAAAATTTTAAGAAATTTAATAGAGATATTTGTTAAATTGAACACTATGATAAAATTTTTTCATAATGTCTAATTATCATTTTCTTCGGACAAATGATGCGTTGTTACAAGATCAGTCTACATTTTATGTACAATTAACTCGTGTTCAATTAGCATAGACGGCGAACCCATAAGGGTGAGAAAGCAAAAACATACATTAGATTCACACTGATAAGCTCAAATACTTTTCTTCTTCCATCAGATTGATAGATTGAAGAAATGCAATCATATTTGTTGCAAAAACATCAATATTTTTTCGCTGCTTTCCGTAGCTAATAGTAACATATTCTCAATCACGCACACTTAGAACAAATTTATCATGAAACATTATGTTTAGCACAGATGACTATTGAATCATAAATCGTCAATGAATTAATTGTCTTCGAATTCAACGACTAAGATTGCATGCCTAATGAACATCTTCAATAATGAAGAATCCTATATATACTACTTCCTTATTGTATATCTAGAAAATAAAATAAAAAGATAATGAATAAATGTATTTCAAATTCAATAGAATAAAGCCATCTTCTGTGATTTGCAACTGAAACTACATTATATTTCACACGTCAATTTCATAGGAATTGTGCTAATAACTTTATTCGGATAGGCATGGTTTATACAAATATTTGTTGAAATTAACAGAATTTTTAATGCTCGTCTTTAGTTCTGATCCCATTAACTGTTTTTGTTTCTAGTCGTCATGCTTTCAGTATGTTTTGATTTCTAGTTAGTCCGGATTGCAGTTTGCGCTCAATAGATCGTTGCAATTTTGTTCCATATATTTCTAGTTAGAATATTTCATGTTGTCTTTTTTTAATTTTTATTTTACTTCATTTTTTTAGATGAAATATTTCATAATCGTTGTGTTTTCATATATTTTGTCAGTTCTTATCAAGTGTCGCTGCATGGTGTTCGTTTCTTTCCTCTTGTCGTATTTATTTAAATATTATATGTCAAACAACGATAAGAAATGAACTTTGATTCAATATGATCGGAGGTGTAAGCCATCCAGCTGCGCCGCCGCCACCGCTGTGAAAAATTAGTTCAGCCGTTGCGCCGCCGCCACGAACGAAAATTTTTGATAATAGTACGATGCGCCGCCGCCACTGACATTTTTAGGAGCAAAAACGTTTTTTTTTTTAGTTGTCAAAGCCGCCGTCGGTGCAGAAAAACATAGAGTCTAGTAGGCACCGCCGCCATGGAAAAAAATTGGGCCATTAAAACAGCCGCCGCCGTTTGACCCCTCGGCTTACACCTCTAAATATGATAAGTGGGAAAAAAACATGCAATAAGTACTATTTAAAATAGAGTTGACAAACAAAAGAAGAAAGTGATGGAAATGTGCATTACAACTTCATTCTTTGTTTATTACATATTCATTTCATTTATTAAAAGAATAATTTAGATATACCTCTTGACAAAAAATCTCATCCTTTTGAAAAATACATATCATGAAAATTTAAAAACAAAGTATTTGTACAAAATATTCTGAACTAAATGTGTTATTAACATAAATATGATTGTTTTCTATTATATCAACAATGTTATATAATAATAAAATAACATAAGTTTCATAAAAATAATATCTTTTATAATTTCCATTTTAAATAGATTTTATCACCTATACGTCGAATTGTGTAGTCACAAAAAGCTTTCACAGGATGAAACAGTCTCTCAAAATCGATAATCGAATGTAATCTTTGAATAGTCTTCTCATTTGCATCGGATACATAGAGACATAAGCCACAAAGGTAAAGAATATGTGTTGTATTATTCATTGAAATAGATCCTACGATATTTTCTAAATTATTTTCTGTTGTATATCCTATCTCTAGATATTGCATACGGGGACAAAGATTCATAAGAAAATGAATTTGATTTATTTCTACCATTTTATCGAATTTTACTTTTGTAATTTTGTTATTAATCGATACCAATAACAGCATTTCTGTATTTTCACGTGACAAGTCTGTTAAATTCACTAGTGGTAATGATAAAACTTCCAATGATTGAAGATTAGGCATTAAGTGTATAAGTTCGATCAACATGTCGATTGGAGTGTCATTACAATGAATTTTTAAATGAGTAAATTTTACAGCTAACAAACAGGGTTTCATGTGATCAGTATATGAGGGATACCAAACAGCAAAGGCATGGTTCTCAATAGTAAGTTGAATAGATTGAATGAACGAATTAGTAGTCTCTTGTTGACAAGATATATCAATAAATTTAGATGTTTGTTGATGAATATTTCCATCTGAATATACATCAAATTGTTCATATTCATAATGATTATACCATGTTTTTCTAAAACAAAAGAAGAAATATTAATCAACAGAAAACACTTATGTTGATTTACCGATATGGATAAATAGAATATACAAATGTATCAAGCTGGTCTTTGAACTCAAAGAACCATTGTCGTTTAGTACAAAATATTGACGTGAATTGATTGATTGATTCACAATTAGGAAAAATGTCATTATTATTAATAGACATATGATGATTGAAATAAAATTTACACAAGTGAGGTATATGATTTGTTATTAATCGTCTCCATCTATTTGCATCAAGATAAGCCGTTTCTTCAAATGTATTTAAATGCCATACTTTTAGTTGAGAAGAAATCTTTTTAATAAACTTTTCCAATATATCAAATTTTACGCTACATTCAACGAAAGAAACATGTATCAAGTTAGATAATGTTAACAGGATTTCTTTGTTAACAATTTCATCTGTTTCGACTACATGTTGACAAGTTAAATGTCGAAGTTGAGGTGTATGAGAAAGTATTGAAGTAAGTTCATCAATATTACAATCATGATTGAGGATCAAATGTTCAATAATACTAAATTTTTGATTGATAGAAATTGGTATAGAGATATTTAATTCATCATAATTTAACAATGACATTTTATTAAATTTCAAACAAGGTAAACGAAAAATGATTTGATATATATCACTAATATTGTAGTAAGAATCATCTTCAAGTTCAATAGTCAATGAAGAGAGACAAGGTAAAGAATTTAAATAAAAAAGAATCATTAGAATTTTGTAGTCTGAAAATCCACTAAGAATAATTGATTGAAGATGATTAAATGATGAATCAATATAACAATGAATAAAAAAGTTATGTATAATTGAATGACTATCTAAATGAAGTGAAAGTAAACGATGTTTATTTGGAATAATAACATTTCGACAACAATGTTCAAGTGTTGGTTGTGATTTTTTTGAAAAATTAATCTTCAATGGAAGTGATGAAAAACTTATAAGATTATGAAAACGAATATTAAGTTTTGAAAATCCTTTATATATATCATAACCATCAAGATAATCAAAAATTTCATAGAGAAGTTCATTGGACAATTGTTCAAAAGACGTTATTGATAAACTGGATTAAATTTGAGAATATAAATAAAATTTCAATTTCAATTATTTTTACTTACTTTTCTTTATCAAATGTTGCTAGAAGATATTCGAAATCAATGAGAAATTACTTAAAATATATGACTATGTAGCTTACCCCTTAACTTCTTTATTTTTACATTGGATAAATGATTGAAACTCAATTGGCGTTTAGTTGGATTTATATTCATTTTAATTATTGATTATAATCAATAAATCGTATTACTTTAGTTGTTTGTTGTTATTGTAGTTTATAAAGAATGATAGTATATTTAGTGATTTAATTTGTTCGATTACACTCTCGTCTGCGATTCATAGAATGTTAAAAATGACAACATGTCACAGCTGTAGGTAAACCATGAATGTTGTTTTTTTTACTTCCTATACGGTAAATATATGTGATGACTCATGGTCCATGTTTTTCTTTTGTCAAGACTATTGAGTAACGAAAGAAATAGTATACTGTAAATGATTTAATGACCGAAGAGAAAGAAAGAAAAATGAAAAATACCCTGGTTTGTCAAATAGAGCAAGCATATTGGAAAATTCTATGAGGAAAAGAAAAGACATAGCGTAAATGTTATTCAAGATATGTTTCATTGAAAATGATTCATTAATGTGTTAGGTGAGAAAGTTATCGAAGCTTTATTGACTCATTGAAACGGATAATCTTAGTGTTCAAAAATAAGTAAGCATCATTATTTTACTGCATTAATGCGTGTTTGATCCGTTAAATATTTAATTATGTTAAGGGCTGTTTAGGACTTAAGAAATATAAGTGAATATATCATATATTGCTTTTCTTCCTTCTATTTATAGTACATTCTCTGTTGGTTTTTTCCTTTTCTCTTTGTACGTCTGTGTGTGATACATAGAGCGATTCGCAATATTATTAATCGAGGTTTATTTTTAATGTTTTTCACTGCTGTAGTCGCTCATAAGAATCTGAATAGTGGTTTGTATAGAAAATTTTATTTCGAACAAGAATTTTCAAAGACTAAAATAATTGCTAGTTTTACTAGGATGAGATTCTGATTGAATTACATAGAACGATCGAGGAAATGATTCAGTACCAAATGAAATGCCTTTCAACTCTATGCGCTATTTTTATTGATCGAGATATATTAATCTTGCGGAAGTCACAAATAAATGCTGTTTCTTTAGGAAATAATAACGAAAACAACTTTTATACTTTTCATAAAGTTGATATATCTTAAATAAAAAACTGTCGTACAGCAGCAGAAGATATTTTATTTTGTAGAAAATTATTTGTTCTATCACTCTGTGCAAATTAAACAGAATTTTAATTACAAATTGTAAGAGCTGAAAAAGTTTGTTTTAAGTACGTCAGAGATTGTATTGTTGGAAAAACTAACAATCACTTTTCTTCTTTGGAAATTTTTGTTGGAAATAAAATTTTCTACATGAGTCATTATTCGCGTTCTTATGAGTGATAGCGTCTGTGGAAAAAAAAATTCAAAAATAAACCTGGATGAATAATTTTGCAAGTCAATGTACATGATTTTTTTCCTTTCCTTTCATGCATCTTAATGATTTTTTTGAGTATTACATCACCGACAAAAAATAGAACAAGTAAAAATATTTCTTTTCAAAATCTATCTTATAAAATGCAAAATAAATTTTTATTTTGAAATATAGACAAAAAATCAGATGTCTTACAATTTGACTTGTTATGAAATGTATTCTGTTTTGAGTTGAACAAGTTTTGAATCAAAACACTAAGTCGATTAAAATAATATTATCTTCACACACACTATTTCAGACATTTTCAAGTAAACAAAAAAAAAACACTGATGAATCGATCTTCCAAAAGCCCACTAAATTTCAATGTTAACTTTTAAAAGTCTAAATGATGACATAGAAATGATCAAAAATCAAATGAATATTTCTTATGATAATATTTTGTCATGAAGATTAATTGTTGCTCTACTATTTTCGACATCTTCGTATATTTGGTAAGTTGAACAGAAACAAATAAATTATGTTAGAAAGACTATGCAATAGCAAAAAGAAAGACAAACAAACTCCTAAAATATTACCCTACTTTGTATTTGTATTTATAGAGGAACATAATGAAAAATATATCTGTGTTAATACCAAAACAATTTTTATTCTATCGCACATTCCAGAGTATAACACCTTCGAAAGTAATGCCGTTCACAACATTCATTGAAAACTGGCATTGTTTATCAACAATTAAAATTATTCAAAGATGTCGTTGATTAATCTCATGAATGATATCAATGATTTGGATAATGTTTTAAGTACAATTGGCTATGGAGTTTAAGTGCGAATGGATTTTATACGTGATAACATGGCTATACTGGATTCAAGACTAACGAGGAAACATTCCCAACTGTTAATCGCCGATCGAAGTGATATTTTGCTCATAGGCAGAACTCAATGAGACTAGGAAAAGCCTAAAAGGATTCATCCCCATAGGCCTCCCTTCTGGAGTTATGACCATTTTACGAACTTTCCGGCTTAATGTAAGATATTCATAAAAAAGCCAAAAAGAAGGAATTGCCATCTGAAGTTTTGCCCATAAGTAGGTCTTATGATTTTTTTCGGACATCCTGAAAGTTTCAGTCAAAACGGATGGTTCCTTCTTGAGATATTGAAAATTCAAAAAAAACGATCATATGTCACAAAAAAAGGTCATAAAAACGACTTTTCTTTAGTATTCTATATCTCGTGAAGGAACCATCGATTTTGACTGAAACTTTCAGGATGTCCTAAAGATCATAAGACCTACTTATGGACAAAACTTCAGATTGCAATTCCTTCTTTTTGGCTTTTTTGTGAATAGCTTACATTAAGCCGGAAAGTTCGTAAAATGGTCATAAATCCAGAAGGAAGGCCTATGGGGACGAATCCTTTTAGGCTTTTCCTAGTCTCATTGAGTTCTGCCTATGGACAAAATATCACTTCGATCGGCGATTAACAGTTGGGAATGTTCTCTCGTAAGATTTAATATTGTTTTACTTTGCTTATCTCTGTAAATGTTTCAAAAATATGTGACAAAAGTAAATAGTAAAAATGGGTTACATGATATGAGTTTCTGTCGAAAAGAAAAAAAATTATTAAATTTTTAAGTTTTAGAAGATATTTACCAATAGTTTAATATAACAAAGAGTATCACAAAGAAGAATTACAGAAACAGTTTTTCTAGGAAAATCATTGATAACGAAATATTATTCAAAGAAATGTAACGACAAATACAATCCCTTTATGGATTAAAAAAAAGGCATTATGTGTGAATGGATTGTATACAAAATATTGATTACAATATATTGTTATGGTGTATTAAGAATTATATTTATTTTTTTTTACGTTGTTGTGTTTGTGAAGAAAGAATAATTCATCTACTAACAAATGTCTTATGATAAATAAACATATTTATTTAAACACTGTTGATTCTGAAAAAAGCAAGAACTTTTCATTATCTCTGTCTTTATGAAGTGTTTTCGACTAGTAAAGAAAAAATATTGCCTTAGTTTTTATTGGAATAATTTTTCATTGGTAAAAATCCGTTCTGTCAAAAGTGAAAACCGTAAAACAAATGTTGGATTTGTTCCCTTACTTTTCTTTCTAACTAAATTTTGGCATGATATTAATAAGATATATTATTGAGTGAGTTATCCTCTGACATTTACTTTATTGAAAGAAATATTAAAAAAATAGCATATAAGAAGAAACCACGAAAGAATGGAATATTAACTGCAAATAGTTGAACACGATTATAAAAGCAACGAATGTGTAGGAATGAATTTCGAAATGGCATTTTTTCTATGGATTTTAATGGTACAAATTCAAAATCAATTAGTTTAAGATGAATTGATTAGAGTCACATTTTGTCTCGTTAGTTAAGTCATTTAGCAAATAACTATTTTTGAGGTATCATCTTTAATAAATAATCAAGCTCAAAAATTATACAAAAAACAGCTCGTGTCGGTGGTATCGACGGCATGAACGCGCTCGCAATAATCAAAGGGTGCATCTTTTACTGAAATCTAACGGTTTTCTGAGAGTTTAAAGCATATTCATGCAGTAAGATATTAAAACAAACGAAACACGATTAACCGGTGGTCTTCAAACAGTTTACACAATATCGGTAATTTTTTTAAAATTTTTGATTGCGATCCTGATAAGAAATAAACACAAGTGTAGCTGTTTCATTTTCTCATTATTGATTGTTACTTCAAGAAATATAAAAATAAAACAAATATCAAACATACGACTAGATCAAAATGCGAAGGGATTAGGAAACATGATAAACGAGCAATTCCTATGATAACAAGAGGATTAACAAATAGACACAAAAGAAAAAGCACTGACATTAGTAGCAAATGAACTAGCATACGATCTCTTTTATGCTTATAGATATCCAATATAAATTTGTATGCTTAGTTTGAACATAAGTTCAGTTTTTATTTGTTCAATGACACTAATCGGAATATATTTAGAAGAGGAGATTGCAAGAAGAACAACATAACGAGAGAACAAGACAGCGAACTAGAACACAAATATCTACATATCTATATTTGTATAACATGTATGGAAGGAAAAAACTTGTACATGAATACAATGGAATAATACAACAGTAGTATGTCCTATCACTTGTAGGGAAATATCCAATATGTATATTGGAAAATACTAACAGCCAACAAGTAATTTACGATTAAGGCTTATTACATTTTATTACCAATCACTCGTGTAAATACCGTTAGAAATAAGAGAAAAAAATATCGTTTCTTTTTTCATTCTGATTTAAGGTGAAATCTATCCGTTGTATCAAAAGTAATGATGCATAAATAAAATCAATTGTCAGATTTTTTTTAAAATTTTTATTTCAAAAACTAAACAAAAAAAGCTCTAGTTACATTCATGATTAATCCTAATTTGAAATATTCTAGCATTCTAAGACATTAGTTCAAAGAGGAAAGACGTTGAATATTGATTAGTAAGTGCCTGGATAATAATATTGTTGTGGATAAAAAATTGGTTGAGAAACCATTTGTGGTTGAGAAAATGCACAACCTGGACAGCTTGATGTTGCTGATCCATAGGATGAATAATAAGGAGATTGAAAGACCTACATAAATCAAAAAATTACCAATAAGAATGAATATAAAAAGACCAGAAACTCACCATGATTATTAATGAAAGT